CCTCACCATCCCCCCAACCCACCACCCCCCTCATCATCCGGGGCGTGCAGGACCAGAGTCAGGACGTTGATGATGAGTCTTTGTGAAGCACCAGCTCGAACCCACCGGGAGAATAGTGTCTGATTGGGGGCAGGAAGGATGGGAAGGTATCGGAAAACAGCACAGAGAGGGTTCATGAGAACGGTTGAGATCGGAGAAGTTGGGGCCATTTCTCCTTGGAGGAGACACCTTGAGAGGCGAATCGATAGAGGGCGCAGACACGTAGAAAATAGGAACAGGAGTAGGCCATTTGGCCCTTTGAGCCTGCTCGCCCATTCAATAAGATCATGGCTGATCATCTGACCCATTCCCTGTTCCTGCTTTCCCCCCATACCGTTTCACCCCTTTAACCCTAAGAACTGTATCTAACTCCTTCAAAACATTCAATGGTTTGGCCTCAACCACTTTCTACAGCAGAAACTTCCATAGGCTCCCCACTCTCTGGGTGAAGATGTTTCTCCTGATCTCCGTTCTGCTATGGACCAAACCAAAGCCCCCCAAAATATTCAGACGATAATCTAGACCCTAACGTTTTCTTATTTTAAAGGTAAATGTAAGGTGTTGCATTCCAGATGCAAGCTGATTGATCAAACTACCGGATTTAAAGCAAAACGCACTTCATTCATCCACTATAAAATTGAACAAGAGAAAGAAGGAATTGGAATAATTCAACTGGAAAACTGAACAGAATAATAGATACAGTCACTATTACTAATGAACTGTTCCAACATAGTAACATCCCATAAACATACCCTTGACAGAAGGCAAATTCAGAAAACAGGTTGTCTCACGTGCAATTCTAACAGCAGGAAGAGCACCCCTAGCTTTTAGCTGGAACCGAGAGAGGGTAAAAATAGCTTCTACTTCTTCAAGATCCCACCAACAACTGCAGAAAGCTAAAAACGAAAAATCCTGTTTTTTTGAGAGTTTGACCCCACCCATTCAGGCTGCTTCTATGTTCCAATTTAAAAAAATATAAGGTCTTACAAGCTGTTTACTCTAGCGATGCTGGTGGACTGCTCAACACCTCTGCTTTAAAACTCTTTCTTTAAAAAAAACCACAGGACAAACTACACCCCTTAAAGCCACCGTATCATCACTGTCCTAAATGGCCTATCCCTATATGCTTAAACTGTTAGCCCTGGTTCTAGACTCCCCTTTCATCGGGAACACTTTGCCCCTGTTAGAATTTTCTAAGTTTGTATGAGATCCCCTTCATTTATTTAAGCCCCAGTCAATGTAGTCTGTGCAGGTCCTGTCTGTCTTCATACACCAGTGCTGCCATCCCAAAACCATCGGGATTCTGCAGATTCGAGAGGGAAGAGCTATTGTTGGTGAATGATCTCATGGATCACAGACACAGGTTAAAGGTGATTGGGGAAAAGAGCCTGAGGTGATACGCGGAGAAACATTTTTACGTAGCGAGCAGATTAAGCGCAGTATGATGGAGATAGCAGGAACTGCCGATGCTGGAGAATCTGAGATAACAAGGTGCAGAGCTGGATGAACACAGCAGGCCAAGCAGCATCAGAGGAGCAGGAAAGCTGAC